AACCTCTGCTAATCTGAAGTCAAGAAAAATCAAACCCGGGAGAAAAGGATAATGCCAACTTGTGATGGGGCAAAGCAGTTGAAGACTGGAACTTCTTGACCAGCTCCAGAAAACAGCTGTGTCGAGTTGTATGCAAGCAGGGGAGGGGAATTCCACACGTAGCCACCATGTAATCCTCTCTTTCTGTGTTGATTACGGTGGCTTACCACCCTGTTGGTTCCTTCTCAGGACTCTGCTTGCCTCCCCACCTCTCAGGACTTTCCTTTCTGCTCTCTCCTCAGCATGAATGGCCACAGCGTTGTGCCACAGTCGGTGGTGCATTTTTACAGTGCCACCAAGTACGCAGTCACAGCCCTCACAGAGGGGCTGAGGCAAGAACTCAGAGAAGCAAAGACCCACATACGAGCTACAGTGAGTACTGGGGGCTCTCTTCCTCTCTCTCTTCTTTTTGTGGGTGGTAGAGAGCTGGCAGGCTTTATGGGACAAAAGATATCTCTTTGGAAAACAGGCAAGGCAATGCAAAAATAGCAGTTGGCACACCAGGAACTTTCAAGCCCTGTGGCCAACTGTCTCTGGACACCTCTCTTTCCCAGGCACAGAGAGACTGGGAAGCAGAAGGCACATCAGCAATGAGCTGTGTCAGGGAATAAACTTTTTGGGTGCATGAAGTGGGCAGTTGCTTGTCCAGGAGCAAGGGGGGCTCATGATAGCAGAGGGAGTCAGTCAGCTGGCCTGTTTGTGCTTGTGCAGAGCTTGCGTCTCAGAAGTGATGTGTCCAGAAGTTAATTGGTATTGCAAGCTTTTCCATTATTTTTTCTGCTTCTCTGTCCCCTTGGGACATGAAGAGGGACATACCCATCAGTGGGTCCCCAGAGGTACCTGTCACAACAGTCACTAAGGCGAAGCCTGCTCTCTTAAACTATTCCCCTAAAAAAAGGTTTGGGAAGGAGAACAGTAGAAAAGGGCTGGGGGCCTGGGTTTTTTTGGCTTTATTGGAGCTAAAAAATGTTTTCTCTTTTTTTTTTTTTTTTTTTAATCTTTTTGCTGAAAGGGAATTACAAATCCTATTAGGATGTGCTCTGCTTTTTTCCAGTGTATATCTCCAGGACTGGTGGAAACAGGCTTTGCTTTTAAACTTCATGATAATGACCCTGAAAGAGCTGCTGCAACCTATGAGAGCATTCGGGTAGGACATGGAGGAATGGAAACACAGGAAAGTGGCTCTGGCTATAGTTTATCAGTCTTTCTTCTGGCTAATACCACAAGGAACTAGTTCTGCAGAGTGCCCAGTGCTTTCCAGGATGTAATCAGCGTCCCCAAAGTTTCGGCACTCAGACCTCAGTATTTGCACTGATACTTACATACTGTGTAGACTTGCATTCAGTTTCCAACACCCTATATTTTTCCTTTTATTTTGATGTTCCTGTAAATAAATATCAATCAGCTATGACATTTGGCAGTCAATGACTTCTTTATTGAAGGGAAAATGTAATAAGCTAACATGTTTGCACAAGAAGAAATGTGAGAGCATGCTGTCTTACAGGTGGCTAGTGCAGGATTTCTTGTGCTCCTGTGGTAATTTTTGATAAGGATGACAGTGCCTGACCTGGCAGAATTACTGTGCCAGTAGTAAGATTATTCACAGCAAATGGAGAATTACCAGCACCAGACACATCCTTTGTTAAATTTGTAATGGATTGTTTTCCTGCTTGCTTGCATCTTTCTGACATGCCCCAATGATACTGTTGAGACTCGTTGATGGTTAGGAAAGAAGTCATCTTATGGCTAACTTCCTGGGATGCCCTTTGACTAAGAATCTCTTTCCTGTCTTTCCAGTGTCTTAAAGCTGAAGATATGGCTAATGCTGTCATATATGTCCTCAGTGCCCCACCTCATGTACAGGTAGGCTGTGGTTGGGTTGGAGGACTCTGGGGTGGGTGCCTGAAGGCAGAGAGGGCAACTGCTGCCCTGACGTTTGCTAATCAGGGCTGCAGCTGCTGTATCAGCTCTGTGCTTAGCAGAGCCCAAGCTGGGATTAGCAGCAATCACGTTTGCTTACACTTCCCTTATGGCAACTGTGGGATTGTGCTGCTCACAGCCCTGCGGATCCTGCACAGGCTGCTCTGACCCCAGAGAAGGACTGTGCAAGGCAGGGGAAAGAACAAGAGAGATATGGGCATGTTTTGCCCCCTGTTGGTTTTTTGGGTTTTTTTTTTTGTTTTGTGGGGTTTTTTTTATGCCATCTGAGATTTGCTGAAAGTCCTGCAGCAGGGTCAGATCCTACCAGTTGCCAGATGACATGTTGAGCCTGATCCTGCCAAGTGCTGTGCACCTCCCCAAGGGTGGTGTGAGGTGCTTGTGCTGTCAGAGGGACTTCCCTCCTGTGAAACAAGAAATAAGTCACCAGCTTTGATCTGGAGGCAGGAGCAGTGTCAAAGTTTAGTATATGCAACATAAAAGTTCCTGTTGCAAAAGCAAACTTTGATCATGAGAGACTGAGCAGCCCCTTGTGTGAACTCTGCTCTCATGGAGCAAGACACAGCCATCTTGACATTGGATCAGGAGTGATAGCTGGCCTCCTTAAGAGGATAAAAAGTCCTACCCGTGGCTGATCAAGCAGTGCTTCTGCTTGACCCTCCTTGAGCAGGATCAAACTAAAGACTTGAACCATGCGCGTTTGCAATCAGTGTCATCTTGCTCTGGTTTCTGCGCATGGTTGTGCTTTGATCCCTTCCGCCACAGGCAGAGCGGTCACATTCACCTTTAGTTCTTTCCAATCTCTCAGATAAGCAGCCTCATTTCTAGTCACAGGGGCCTTCTTCATGTGCAAGCTTGCCACTGTAATAGTGCAGCATGTAAGTGCCCAGTGCAGGATGGAAAATGGAATTCCGTGCTCCAGTAAAATCCTATGTTGGTCTTTTGCAGATTGGAGATATACAGATGAGGCCCACGGAGCAGATATCATAGCAACTGAAGAGGACTCTGAGCAGCACCCTGTATCCACTCCACTTCGAACCCTCTGGCAATTTAGGGTTTCGTTGGCTGGCTAGCAACATTGTAATCAAGTACCAAGGATCATGTTTGAAGAATTATTTTTCTCTCCCTCTCTCTGAGCTGGTGCTGGTGCTGAGCCAGTTTTAAAAAAAAATAGTAGTGGGTCTCTTTTCTCCCCCACTCCTTTCTGAAACTGCTGAAGAGTAAAACGTGTTTGAAAATAATGCAGGGAAGTGGTTTGTGGAAGATTGTTGTCTCCAGGCTGGTTTATTCTTCTTTATGCTTTCTTTTTGAGGTTTGTTTGATCTTATTTGCTGGCAATGTGTCTGGACAAAGGTGAAGGGGCACAAGATGTTTGCCAGCTTCAGTGTACTTAGGGTTTGAGATTTCCAGTGGATGTCATACATGAATCCATCTATTTTTTTTGGTTTATTTTCATCAGATTGATTACTGATGGTAGATGCATGTGATATTTTCTACTTCTTTCATACTCTGCTACCCTAAACCCAGTGTACAATCTCACCCACCTTCCCAAACCCTCCTTTCCCATTCACATGAATCATGCCTGCCAAGTCTGAGGAAGTATAAACGTGTGTGCTTGCTATTTCTATTTCTTTCTAGGTAGGTAGGTAAATAGTTGGAGAAAAAGTACCTGTGCTTCTGCAGGTTAGAATGATCATCTAAGTGGCATAGTTCCAGTAAGAGTGAGTTGTTTGGTATTTTTGATAAAAACTAAATGTGTGCTGTCTTGTGATCACCTCTATCCTTGGTATCATCTCCCAGCACTCTTGATGTTTTTCTATGTGATATTTGCATGCATTGACACTTTTTTGGAAGTACTGGTTGGTCTTAGAAAGATGCTGTTAAATGCTGGTGCTGATGAGCTGGAAATGTTGAAAGTTTGTTTATATGCAAAGATACAAACTCAGAGAGAGAGAGAGAGAGTGAGAGTGAAATGAAACCATGCTGAAGCTGTCCAAAATGAAAAGATATTAGTAGGGGCATTTACTTATGAAGCAGCAGGTAAAAGGTCTGGTTCAGATCTTGTACTAGTTCTACACTGGTGCAGCCCCCTTTTGTCTTGCTCCGGATTTGTTCTAACTTGGGGGAGAAGAGAATCAGTCTCAAAGCTGCTACATGCAGGGCTGGAAACCACTTGAGTTGTCTTAAGACTCTTGCAGTGTGGCAGAAATATGTCTGTGTTTGGTCCAACTTGCTGCAGAGCTATGGAGCTGTTAACATTTATGTTGCCTTAAGGTTTCAGACTTGCTCCTGCGGTACTCTGGACTTTCTGTAGTGTTTCAGAAGGTGAACTGTTGACTGTTGGTTGAGGTGGAGCAGGTATGGTCAGTCAATTGGAGCAGGGGATTGGGAGCCAGAGAAGCTTGGGTTGGGTTGTTTTGCTTACACCACTATAGCTCTGTGGGAGTTATCTGTGTTACACCACCACAAGGGAGACCAGAATTGGGCCACTACATTGTGAGTTTCAACTCCCTATGAAGCCTTGGGCAAGTCACTTTACCTCTCTGCCTCAGTTTCCCCATCTGTAAAATGGGGATAATAATACTTACCTACCTCACAGGGGTGTTGTGAGGACTCACAAACTTTTGTAAAGCACTTTGAGTTTGAGAAGCGCTATGTAAGTGCTGAGTGTTGATATGAAGTATTATTATTAATTAAATCTTGTTATATGTAGAATTCCTTGTGCCAAAGGTGAACAACCGTAGAAGGATACAAGGAGAAAGCTGGTAAAACATTCCTTTGTAATGGCAGAACAAAGGCAATTTGCCCCCCTTTTTTTTTTCTTTATAAATACACACTCATGGTGTGTTCTGTGCATTCCTCATCTGGCAGGGGTTTCTGCTGGCAACTACACACAGCCTCATCTTTGGGTTTGGCCTTTTAACTTACTGTGGGTGAAATGCAGTCTCGCACCACTGTTAAACCATGTTGCTTTGTGTGGGTTCTTTGCACAGAGCTTGGTTTCTCCCACAGCTTTGGGTTAGATGGTGTCCTGCAGGGAGTGGCCAGTCCAGGTCTTCATGCAGCCAGCGATCCTCACGGCAGCAGAGAGCCTGAGCCAGCTGGAAAAGTTCTTCAGTCTCCGTGCTCAATTTGGAAGCACCTGGGTAAGGAAGGCTCAAGCACTACTGTGCTTTTTTAGAATGCCCCTGCAATGTTCAGCTAGACTTGGTATGAAAACTCCTGGTGTTCTCTGTAGTTTCTTTTGGAGGAGCTTGTTGAAACTCAGCAGACGTGCTGTGTGCCATCTTAGAGAAGATGGTTGAATGAGGAGCTGGAGGCCAAAAAAAAATAAAAAATGAGAAATTAGGAACTTAAGAGGAGAAAAAACCAGCAGGGTTGTGAGCACCACTGGTGAAAATACCTGAATTGGTGGCCACAACTGTGTACAAAGTTAAGCAGATGTGGCAATGCATGGCTGAGGAGGGACCAAACTTATCTCTGCTCTATAAAAGGCTTTGGAGAGAATTGCTTAAGATGTATGGCCTTGAAAAAGCACCAGTCTGGGTAGTTGCTCCCTGCAAATACAACCTGACTAACCTGCAGCCCTGGAATTTTGGTTTGGTTTTTTTTTTTCTCCAGGAACATTTGTAACATTTGCAAGTCTATAAATAACCTCAAAAATTATATCCAACCTCTTATTGCTTGTGAGACATCCAGACCTGGAACGGCAATAACAAAGGGAATTCCCGTGAGAAGTGTGGCCTGTGGAGTGGTTTGGTCTGGGTTGTTTGGCCACTCTGCCTCGTGTAACCTGGTGGCACCTTGAGTCATCTTCCTGGGATGAGATGGGAATGGCAGCACGACCTGGAGGCAATTAAAACCCCAACCAGGAGGGTGAACTGTGTAACTTATCAGTAGGTTTCTAATTGTGAACTGTAAAATAAAGAATAAAAAGAGAGGCACACTGTGGTTCTTTTGTTGTGTAGATTGACATTTTTGTGTTATAACCTCCTTTTCACTGTTTGCAGCTAAACCTTTCTTGTGTGAAGAGTTCAAACAGAAACGTGTGGTTTTGGTTCTTCACAAGAAAAAACCGTAATTGCTTTCTAGAGCAGAACAGCATCCAGTTGTCTCGCAGATAACGGGTGGAGGCTGGACTCACACATCCTTGTTCAAATGAAGCCACACTCCTCAGGGGTTCCCTGAAATCCCCAGGTAGGCTGCTGGGAACGGCTGGGTTTGACTAAACTATGCAAGGGATGAGCTGCTGCTGCTACTTGGATGTGGATATTGAGCTCTTTCAGTCTCTTGTGGTTGCTTCCAAGCAAGGTTATCGTTGTTAACTGAAGGTGTTTTTGTTCCCCAAGCCCCTTTCAGCTTGTCAGAGCACAGAGGCACTGAGCTCAGGTTTGCTGTCATTGACATACAAGGTTTTTGCAAATAAGTTGAATAGCTGAATTGGCTGCCCTTGCTGGATTTGAGGCAAATATTTTGGATAACTTGTAAACAGGTAGAGAGCATTTGTAGAATTAAAATAATGTTTTTTTCCTATTCTTGTGCTTTGTTGTTGTTGTATATAATATATATTATCAGTTGTGTTAACATGTTTGCTGGAGATACAGCAGTTTAATCTGGCAGATGATGTGATCTCAGGGAACTAGTCTCTGCTCTCATTTTTTCAGGGGTAGAAACCATGAGCAGTTGGCTCTGGTCAGCAGCGGGAAAAAGATGATTTTGCTTAAGATCTCTGAACCTAGGGACTGCTGGAGACATCATTCCTTGCCCTCTCCCTCATCCTTAGATATTAGGAGGAAGTTCATCACTATGAGGGTGGTGAGACACTGAACAGGTTGCCCAGGGAGGTTGTGCCTGCCCCATCCCTGGAAGTGTTGAAGGGCAGGTTGGATGGGGCTTGGAGCAGCCTGGTCTGGTGGGAGGTGTCCCTGCCCATGCAGGGGGGTTGGAACCAGATGATCTTTAAGGTTCCTTCCAACCCAAACCATTCTATGATTCTATGAACCTGCAAAACTAGTTTCATTATATTTTTGAAGCCTGATGTCAGTCAATGCTTCAGACTAAGTATAGAAAAGAATAGAAACATGTTTCGTTCTCTATGCAAAACTCCTTTCAAATTATATTGTGGTTTTTCCCCTGTAGCCTGAGGGATAAACCCCTGGAAACTCTAAACCTAACGCTGTGAATGAGCTGGTTCCCTGTTTGCCTGCCCCTTTTCTACCCATGTGGGCAATTAAAAGGCAGATATAAAATATCATGTAATTAGAAGAGCAGCGTCCTGGTGTAAAGTTACAGGTGGGGAAGGGGCCGTCCCCGTGGCAGTTCCCGGTGCTCCGGGAGCCCTTGCAGTGACCGTGCCCAGGCCGGGATGTCCTCTGAACGCGCTTCCAGCTGATTAGAACCTGTTTGGACAGTTTCCATTGTCTGTGGGGCTTTACAGCTCGCTTGAGCACACACGGCCTTTGGGAATGGGGTCAGAGAGAAATCCCCATTCCCTGGGGTAACTGCAAGTCAAGCACGAATTTATTATTAATATTAATATTAAAAATACCGGGGCTGGGCCGGGGCTTTCCAAAGCACCAACGCTTTTGTTACTGGACCTGGGTGTTTCAGCTGGGGTGGGTGGGATGCAGCCCTGTACCCCAGTCTTTGTGAGATGCCCTAATGGAGCAGTTAAAAGCTGTTTTCTGGTTAATTAAGACCCTGTCAGTGGAGGCCGGGAGGGGCCGGCTCCCCCTCACTCGGGGCAGCACCTTTGCAGCCCTCACTGAGGGGGTGACCCGGGGACAAAGCCGCACTCCCCCCACGGGGCTGCGGGGCGAGGTCCGGCTGGGAGCGAAGGCTCCGCT